CAATAGATAATAAAACAAATTCGAAATTCAAAATTCGGGCTTTGAGGTGTCCCCGTTCAAATGGAGGATTACGTTATTCAAAATTGGATGGCTCTAGGTTCAATCGTTTTTTCACATTGCGAGAAACTTACATACTTTCATGCAAATTCTTCATTACTTAAGTTCTTTAAATATAATGCAGGGCTCTAATATTTAGTGGCAACAATTTGAAATGGGAAACCCGTTTTATAGTAGACTGCGCAAAGTAACAAGAGGAACTTAATAGCCCTTCTGAGAAAATTGCTCTTTTGGGCCTAAAAGAAAAACGGAAGTCGAAAGGAAAATCTTCTGAGAACTCTCAATTGACTCGGTTGTATAGATGACGATAAGCCTTGTATTGGCACTAGCCAGCTCAGTGTTAAGTAGTATAAAGCTGACAAATAAAATTGTAAATACATAAAAATAAAACTAAAAGTAACCTACAGACATTTTGACGCCAAAACAAATTCTTCCATTCTACTATTCTATACACATAGGAAAAAGACATTCTAATGTAGCCTAAAATAGTCTATTTGTATTCAGAATCATGAACTGATTCAGGAAAAAGTTTGCCTTCTATTAAAAGGATTTCTCTAAATGTTCAATTTCTTAGGAAAATACATAAACATTTTTATGATTATTCTGTTTGTCGATACTGAAAACCTGCAGTAGATTACAGTAACTTTATTTAAAATTTATATAGATAATTTAAATAAACAGAAAGCAACTTCTAAAAGCTCCAGTTAGCAGTCTGGACAAAAAGAAAAGTTTTTAAATACCATTCAAAGAAAGAAAGAAAAAAGAAGCTCAACAATCAAAACCAAATAAGCAAAAATATATTCAAGACACCATTTAAAAGAAAGATATTCAAGAAAAAAATAACCCAAGCATATCTTCAAATTACTTAATATATTTGTGTTTTAAACTTCAAATAGAATACGACTAGTTTCGACGTTACTCACTGATTAAGAAATTTTTGCATTTCTCGTATTTCATTAACCGCACTGTTTGAAATAAGCGAATTAAAACTAAATCAATCCACATGGGAATCATTTCAATAAAAGTGTTTAATATGAAAGCAAATTAATTCGAAACCTGTAAAAGAGTTTGCGTTGCCAAAACATATAGGATAAATTTCTTCTTATCTTTGGAAGAGTTATCAGCTTTTCCGAGATTGCCCAAGACGAAATAAAAATACATTATTAGTATACCGAAATAATGGATCCTCTTGAGGTTAATTTTTGACGATTACGAGAATTTGTTCAGTCTAGACGTTGTTAAGAAAATAATAATTAAAACAGTCTGATTTCCCGTCACTAATGCGTATAAGGAAACGTGATATTTGCAATATTCTTTCTTAAATGCTAAGATATTAATAAATTTAAGTCGTAAATTATTAAGAAATGCATACCTCATATATAAATTTCTCAGTTCATTAAGCAATATGTGCTTCAAATTAAAAAAAGACAGAATGCTGCTAAGAGTTGCCAGGAAATGAAGATGAATAAATTAAAGATCTTATAAATCGTAGAATAAATCGCTTGCCTGGAAGCTTGGATGATAAAATCTATGATAGCGCAACGTAACATAAAAGAAGGCAAAAGTGGAACAGCCTTTAGTTATTTTTTTCGTGGCATTTAGTAATTTCTAATCTTCAAAGTAGTTTATTTCTAACCGATGCCTAGGTTTAAAAATTATGAATATTTCAACGTTCTTGTTTAACTGTTTGCTGAATTTTGCACTTTCTTTTAAGCATTTATTTATTATAAGCTTTTATTTTGCTTTTTTGTAGTGCTTGTCGCATTGGTCAAACGTTTGTCGTCGATTTTTTAATTAATTTCTGATAAGCCATCGAGCTCAAATTTTCTACACACTTTTTGTGGATAGCAAAATAGAGTGTTTTAAACGATGCTTTATTTATTTTTGTTTGCTTTGTTCGGTTTATTTATTAATACTGAAACTGTTTTTTGTACGTATCTAATTTTAACAAATAAATTAAATCTCTCAGAATTTACTATTTGCAGCATTGTAAATAGCTGACAAAAATCTTTTAAACGAAATTCATACGAAATTTTTCGAAATTCCCTTTGAAATTTTTCGAAATGTTTCGAAATTCCCTTGATATTTTCGACTATTTGACGACTGTTGTTTTAAAATTTTAACATCTGAAAAATACCTTTTTTAAAGCTTTGAAATTTTTACAGACATAAACAAATTTTTAACCCTCTTTTAAATCTTCTACAATTTTTAAAAAATAGGCTGCCAATGATCCTAAGCAGAAGGGGAAGTTTTTTTTTCCTTTTTCTTTCCATCGTGATTTGCTCAAGTTATAATGTCATCATACTTCACAATATTTCTCCAATATTCATTTCGGTCTACCAGCGGCCGAACGGTAAAATCGCTGAACACTGGTAATTCGGTTCGAGGGTAGAATTCTCTGAATGGATTAGCTGCATGGGCGTTTTCGTGGTTTTCCCTATGTGTTACGCATATATGAGCCGGGTTCTTTTAGAAAGTCGTCCACGGAGGCCTCCCTCCTAGGACATCTGCTGCTGTTGTTTTTGCTGATCCTTTTGATCTACGTTATTACGAAATTAGATCCACTGATTCTCCAAAGCCAAAACGAAGAAGTCGCCTTCGTCTTCCCCAACAACTTCGGCTGCTTATAAGTGGCAATACGATTTTGCTGCTCTTGAGCAAAAATATCGAAGGTGAGAGTGGGTAAGATAAAGAAACTCGGGTAAGAATAAAAGTGTCTTCAACTCCTCTTACCCTACCAAGAAGTTCCTGAGGGAAATTAGGCTCCGGGATATTTTAAGTGCCCTCATGTCGCAAAGACAGCATACATTTGTAAGGTTTATGCTAAGTTTTTAAGAGTTACCTTTATTTAAAGCTAGTTTTCTGCCCATCCTAATTTTAGCTTACAATTTTCTACCAGAATGTGTTTTTAAAATCGCGTTTAATTCAAATGAGTAAGAGCGGTATGTAAGTCGAAGTTGCATTTACTTTGTAAGAGAGCTAGAGTTTCTTATTAACGCGCGTTCCCCTTTTGGCTAAGCCTCTTTCTTAGAGGCTAGCCAAAAGCTATCAAAATTTCTGAGTAGATGGCTCCTAAATACCGAAGCTATCAAGATTTCTAAGTAGATGGCGCCTAAATACCAAATAAGCTCGCGGATGCTATCAAGGGCCTGAAATACGGCCGAGCTATTATTACTCTCGTCCGTATTTCAGGGCCTTGATAGCATCCGCCAACTTATTTGGTATTTAGGAGCCATCTACTTAGAAATCTTGTTAGCTTCGGCTATATCTTTTAGTTAAGCATTAGTTTATTTCTTATTATTTTCAGTTTAATCCCAAGTGGAGGTTTTGCTGTACGCTCTGAGAAAGGAGCCGACTGTCCAATTCTTATTTGCAATAATAAAGGGTAATTAACCTTTCTTGATGTTTACGCCTGTGTTGCCGAACTAAACCGATTATTCGCTTAGCTGTTCACAAGGTTCCTACACATTTAGCTGCTAGATAAAAGGCTGGAACCGAACACATTTACAAACATTCATGCCCTCTCCTGTATCTGAATTCGATGCAAATGCTACTACAGTCAGCTCCGCTAGCCATAGCATCGATCAGGGCGGTTGATAACATCTTGCCAACATTTGTATTTCAAAAACAGAACGATCAAATTCAATGAATTAATAATAATTATTTTACAGTTTTTTCCTTCGATGGAAACACAGTTTAATTTGAATGATCAGCTTATTTAGCTACTAGCATTTTTGAGTATGCAAAGATAGTTTTGATGCCATATTACATACATAATTATTACACATTTTACGTGCAATAAAATAAACGTTTGCTGCGAAATAAAATAAAAATTATGGTACCTTTGACTATTTTTCCTGGTCAAAACGTTCTTTGAAAACTGGAAATAACACCTGAAACACCTTATTCGGGCGACAAGGAAGACAATTATTAGGCTATTATTTTTATGTTCCTTACATGTAATATTTTCATTTATTTTATTTTCTTCTTTGCACGCCAAAGTTTCCAGGAAGTGTTGTCCAATTTCCTTCGGGAGTATTAACAAAATCCTTTTGCAGTAATCCGCCTAGCTTTTCATCTCCGAAGCTGTCTTGATGTGAGAGGATCAAAAGAGTTCAACAAATGCCTCCTGTTGGTCCTTAACTCGGATCGCGTCTGGCAAGAAAGCTCTCCCGATCTTCTTAAGAGCGGATATTCAGCGTCTATAGTTGTCTTTTATCGAATCACTTATCTCAGCTCCCTTCTTCAACAATGCGCTAAAATTCTCGATTTTTTGCGAAAGCAAAAAAGCGAAACAGAATGTCTTTTTTTCTCTTTTTAGTGGTAACCATATTGCTCTCGCTTAAGCTAATTCGTGGGCAGACAACATAGCAAAATAAAAATAAAAGACTACAATTTAAAAACTATAAATAGTAACTAAACCAAATAATTAACCTAAGGAAAAAGGTGAATTTCAATTTAAAATGTTTTCTTAAAGATTTTATCTTTAACGGATGAAATGACATAGTCGGATTCTAAACTTAGTAACTAAATAATTTAAGGTTACAGCTGTAATAGTCGAGGGCAACTGCTAATTTTAGGTCTGGTATTAAATAAGGTGCCTGAACATAAAATCTGTTTTTAATACAATTACGCATACGGCAGTTATCATTAACTATGTTTCAACTAAGGGGAGAAAATTTGATATCCTTTTAAATGTGTACAATAAGCTTTATTTATTTAACAAACTATATTTCTTTTCTATTCTCTCTGTTTTGCTCAACCTCATCTGAATGTAAATTAAATTAATTTTGAATAGCTGTCGAGTGCTAGGATAATAACGTTAGTACTCTGTGGACCCAACGATTCAATATTTCTTAAGCTGCAAATTTTGTAGCTGCTGTCTTCATGATATTTAGTTAGGGATTCTCTATCTGTGTTGTGTTTTGACTTAGCTCACTTACCTGACAGTGACGACAGAACAACCCACAAAATTGATCGTGGCAAGCACCATACAGGTGCCAGTACGACAATTTTGAAGAAGAGCACCCATACGGCAGGTCCCACATTCTCCCACCTCACATTCTCTACCACCAACCTCTTGAGAGCATTTTCGGCTCACAGCATATTTAGAGTGCCCCCATACCGCACAGACACTATACATTTGCAAACATCCCCGCCTTCTCCGGGATTCGAACCAGAAGTTTCGGTATCGCAGTACCGTTCCCTAACCACTATACCAGGTTTGCAATTTAATGTGAGGCATAAGGGATGATAGAGAGTACGAAGTATGATAGGAGAATTTTAATTGCTTTGTTCGAGCTTAAATACAGTTTTTTGAAAAAAAATAATCCACTCTGAAATGATTGTGTTTTTAAAAGTATTCAAAATTTAAACTGAAATAGAAATTTAAGATTATTTTTATATTACATGGGTAATCATAAATGTTTTTACAAATCATATTAAAGGTTTCTGTGGACTACATGCGAAATTCTGTCCCATTTCATGTCCACACATTTTCACACATTTATCTGTCCTCACATTTGTCTGACATGTGGGGGCGGACAGGTGATTTCTTTTTACACAGACAACCCGTATCTTGGAACTGTTTATTAACATTGCCTAATGCTCCGAGGGGTATATTGTTAACAATAGGACTTCATCATTTTGTCGATGAAAATTGCGCTACGCTGTTACAGACTCACATTTTGCAAAGCACAGAATACAAAACGCTTTCATTCTACACAAACACTGAAATGGCAAGCGAAGGGAAAGCGTTAGTGCTACTTCTTGCCAAGTACTACATGAAACTCGGGATTTCCCTCTTTCTATCTATGCATTATGGGATCAAGACGGATTAGCTGAATAGTTTTGATTTTTTAAATCACTTGATTCTTTTTTAAACGCTTTGCATTTGTGTTAGTTTGAATTATTCAATAGTAATGGATAATTTTTGTTGTTAATTTTTAGTTTTATTTTGCGTCTATTTTATCTTACGTCTTTAAATCTACGAGTCATAACAAATAAGGTTTCAATTGAGTTTATTATTTGTGTGGTGACCTGAAGCACATTTGGTAGACTGCTAAGGCTATAATTCACATGAGCAGGCTAAGGATAGACATTCTAACGCTAAACTGTATATAAAAGTTAATTAATCGTTTCATCGATTGATTTTCCGGGAAAACAGTATTTTCGGATCAGCGGAGAGAAATACCATCCCGCGTTTACTATTATCGGATGATTAAGTTATGTGATGGGTTCTCATGGAAATTAGCATTCTAGCAAATGCTGACAATTCTACGGCTGTTATTGTTTTCCATGAATACTGGATTTATCAGTCTTTTAAAAGATGTTGCATACTCGACGGTCAATTAATGTGATTCCAGGAGACACATAAAATTTTGATTTGGACTATCAATCCTGACGTCATTAATTTTATTTCATAACTATACCACTACCTGCAAGAAACTTCATTTCTAAATATCATTGTTACTTTTATTGATATTCATACAGTTTTACCATCTTGTTTAATAATTTTGGAATACCTATCGTCTGAAACTATTATTGCTCTTCTAAGGATAAAAAAGCTGCATCTTTTAAAGAAACAGTCTCACAGATTTCTTCATTCTTTGGAATTTATTTCTTATATTCCTAATTCAGACGAATTTTGCTTATTGAAGTGGAAAGATTCTCTTGAAAATCTTTTCATCCGTTCTCTTCTTTTCGTCGTACGAGATTCTGCCCCATCAACGTCCAGACGACCTCTAATTGATAAATACTTCTATTGACTGAAAAAATGTTAAAAAGAGTTCAAAGAAAAAATCATGAAAATTGGTCCATCTTAAAACTTAATTACGTTAAACCTAAAATAAAATGCTATATTTAATTAAAATATTCTTTGATTCAAATCAATTGCTAAGAATTATGACATGTCTTCTGCTATTTTCGAAATAAATTACATTTCGATTAATGTAATCCGACCACGCCTAAGGACATAATATGAAAGAAATTTCAGAAAAAGAGAAAAGGACATGTCTGGCATATCTCAATAAGTAAACTCTTTTAATATAGCACTTACACAGATAAATCAAAACGAAACACAATTTAAGTAATTATATGCAATTTATCATGTTATTTGGGCCTTTAGGTATGTTAAAATAAGCTTATTTCACATAATCATATTTTGGAAGGAAGGCTAGATGAAAGAAAATTTGCAATCTAACTCGTCTATTACCATTTAAATCCTAAAATGGTATACGAAATTTTTACCACTTAACAGTCACTAGCGTAAATTTATAAAATGTAACAAATTTCAATAAAAGAGATAGCAACGTGCTTCATATGTGACGTTAAAGCAATGGCACTCGTAATCAAATATGTTAGTTTGAAGTTAGAAAGGTTTTTATTTCTTGGTACGAAATAAAGGAAGTTTTGTAATCACTAAAAATTCGGGGAATCATATTTAAACGAAAATACACATTTTGACAGCTATCGAATGAAATTTAACAATGTTTTTGCGTGACATCTGTATAAGGGCATAATCAAGGGTTATTTTTCCCCAAGAAAAATTTTAAAACTGATTTAAAATGAATTCTGAAAAGATTTTTTTCGTGGCATCTGTGCGTACGTACGTACATATGTATGTATGTATCTCGCATAACTCCAAACGAATAGCCTCAGAACATTGAAATTTTGTATATAAGACTACTATAACATATAGATGTGCACCTCCTACTTTAGTTGCCATTCGGCCGCACCAAAAGTATATAAATATATATATATATATCCACTCTGTGTTAAATCTAAAAAAAATTAATGTTGTTGTTTTAATACCTTTAAACTTTAAACTTATTCATGGTGCCGGACAAAATTAACAAAAAAAAATATCCAATATCAAATAATTCACATTCAAAATCTAATTCATAATATTCATATATTATTTCGACATTCTTATAAACATTCGTATAGTAAATCTATCAATCAATCATATAGTGGTAGTACAATTTAACGTTTATCTAAAAAATTTATATTGGTGTTTTAATACTTTTAACTATATAACTTTAATTCATGGTGCCGTACGAAACTAACTCAAAAAAATATATATATAAAACATTCAAATTCATAATATATATCAAAAATCAATCAAATAAACAATCTTATATCATATAGATATTCTTATAAACATTCGTATAGTAAATCTATCCATAAATCAAATCAATCGTATAGTGGTATAGTACAATTTAACTTATAGGTTTGCGTGAGTAACCTATGTAAAAGGAAATATCAATAACTCCAAATTCAATTAAACTCCATGTTTCTTAAAAGCCTCCCGGCTCAAACAAATGGAGGGACATGACAGACCACAGTAAATTATACGCTACATAAATACACAAATACAATTAAATTTTAAACATACATTTATTAAATTCTTGAATATATTATAATTAAATAATGGGTAACTGATCAGTATCCTACAACATATTTTTACTCTGAAAAGTAACACATAATGTCACACGCATTTACAGCTTACAAAAATTAATATACCTTAAGATGGAAAATAACACATATCTCATTCCAAAAATTAACATACTCATATTAATTTATAAGTTTACTATTTTGACGTTCAATAGCTCACTAATTAAGCCGGTAAAACAAATCTTTAAACCTTCCTTTACAGACTTTAAATTAATTAGTAATTATTCAAAATATTCTAATCATTTAGTAGTTTACATATATAAAATAAATAATTTCCGTTTAAGTAATTTGAAAAGATAGAGAGGTAGACAAATTTAAAAATCACTCACAGATGGAAGACAGTTTTTCTGGATTGAAGAATCTTTAGTGTCCAATCCACTTGGAAATAAGCTAAAACAATTTTTTTTTTCAAAACACTTTCAGAAGCGTCCATTGATTCAGGAACCGCCTTAAATATGTCCATTAAGTGAGAGACTATTTCCGAAAGAAAAGATCTTTAGTGTCCAATCTTTTTTCTGTCAAAACACTTTCAGAAGCGTCCATTGATCTCAGGAACAAGGGAAGCATGATACCTCCTTCTGGAACAAATCTGTATCTCATGACAAATTTCTTCAACTGGAATCTCTCAAACATGACTATTCAAGTTTTCCAAAATACACGATAAAGCGGCGAAACTAAATTTTGGGTAGAGCACTTTTGGCACGAACTTCTTAGTTGTAACCAATCTCTCCTGTCTATGACGAACAATTCTAACTGGAAAGCCTCTAACATGACAATTCAAAGATCACAAAATACACGATGAAACGGTAAAATCAAATTGTGCGTAGAGCACTTTCTCCGTGCGAACAAATTCTCATCAGCGGGAAAGCGGCGAAAAACCTCGTCTCAGACCGAGTCGCAAGCCCCCCCGCAGGAGGTAAAGCCGCACCGAACTTTTTCTTTTACTGCCTTACATCTTCGCAACTCAAAGGTGTCCAAATCCGACGCAATAGCCGGCGCCCGCGAGAGCAAGACCCGCAAGGGGTCAAGCCCCCACTCCTCTTCTTACTCTTAGCTTGAAAGAATCAGGAAACAGAATGATCTCTAGCCTGGTGCAAGCACCCAGGAAATCTCGGTTTCTCCGCCTCTGTGAGTTCATAGGCTTTCAAAAAAATCATAAAATTAAATCTTACCAATACCGGAATTTTACGTTATCTAAATTGAGAAAATGACACACCCATGACGAATCAAACACCAGAAAATCTGACAATGAAATCCGAAAAACATCTGCACTCATAACGTGAGAAAAAGAATAAAACTAACAAGCGAAACTAGCGAAAGCTTTTACGAGCATCCAATTATCTAACTTACACACCTCCCACTGTCTTGAAGTACAGAAAACTGCAAACTTTAAACAAAGCGACAGGAAAACACTTCCGTTTTAAGAAAAAACTGCAAACTTTAACACAAAGCAAAAAACTTCGTTTCACACGCATTAGCTAAAAGGGCGACATTGTTAGTGAAAAGGCCATAAACCAGATGTGTGTCCTCGCAACCGTCTCTCGCCTTTGTTACAATTCCTACTCAAGAACAACAAGT